GGAGTCCAGAGCCCTTAGCCACCGCGCCACCTGCTGGCCCCTGGTTAAGATTCTTAAGTTTAAGATATGTAAAATTCAGAGCCTGATGAAAAACTCAGAGGATTTGACAAAGAAAGCAAGATAAATATAAACTCTTTTGAATTTGTGATTTGAAGCAATTCTCTCATTGTGAGATACCATTCTCCATAGCTACTTTAAAAATGAATCAGTTTTATAGTTTGCCAATCCAGACAAAACTGAATAGTGCAAGTAAATAACTAGAAAGAACTTTAGCAACATTATTTCTCAAAATGAGAGGTTCTGGACCTGCCCTATAGCTTAGTATTTAAGGGATTTATATCTCACATTGACCTCTGTTAGAGTCCTGGCCAAGGTGCTGGAAGCCTCTGTGTGCTTGTCCCAAATCCCTATAGGATGGGGAAATGAAGGAGAAAGGATTATGGTGTGATCACACTTCATTGGGGAATGCTTTCTCTTTCTCTGTCTCTCTCTGTTGAGTGCCTGTACCTTTTAGCAATTTAAAACAAGGGATTCTGGGGCTAGCAGGTGGTGTGCTGGTTAAAACGCTGAATTCCCACATGGGCAACCATGGTTGGAGTCCCAGGAGGAGAATGGAGGAGAAGGATTGCAATATGGCCATCTGCTTGGCGGGAGATTTCTCACTTCCCTATTACTGTCTCTCTTTCTCTGTCCCTGGTGAGTGAACACTAACTCGCTATGGCAAAACCCTAAAAATAAATAAGTAAATGAACAAGTGAGCGAATGAATTTTAAGGGGTTCTATGAAGAAGTGAATGTGAGACAGTTTTTTTCTTCACCATAAAATAATTCTAATACTCAGTGCATAGACTAGTGGCATCTTACACTGTGACATTCCTGTACATACATACATTAGTGTTTTATCCAAGTACAGATGTTAAAAACAGAGTAACTTAAGTAATTGCCTATACAAAGGTAAATAGACACTCTTGTAGATTAGTTTTCTTCTTGAACCATTTTTGCTGCATAGTAAATTGCACTTATATATCAGTATAATGTTACCAATTTATAGAATAGTGAGGTATGGCAACTCCATATGTGAGAGAGCTAGCATGTAAACCTGAAAATTTTGAGTGATTTTTATTTTTAGCTTCTATGGATAGTTAAGACAAAAAATAATCTAGCATTCAAAGACTATAGAACAATTTTACTAATAATAAAAAATAACATCTTTTAGTAATTTTCAGTTATCTCCTGTCATCTTACTGAAGCATTGTTGAATGAATAAAGATAAAGGAAATATTGACCTGAAGCTACTTTGTTACGGGATTATAGATTTTAAAAAATGGTGAAAAAAGGGAATGAACTGAAGGCTGCTGACAGCATTTCATATACTAAAATGTACTTTAAACCCTCTATAGGTAGCATTTCTCTTATAATTTGATCCTGAAAACCCTTTTACTAGTTAATTTCTTTATCATGTTCATGATCAGATGTCACTATACTTCACTAGTATAAAAAAAACTATACATTTTGGGACCATCAGTTAGCGTAATGGCTATGTCGCTAGACTCCCATGTAGTCAACTGCGGTTCGAATCCCAGACCTGGTGGCTTATACTCACACCCGGCGCGTGTGGATGCATGCGCAAGATCCCAAGAAAAGAATGGAGGAGGAGGGATTGCCACTTAGTCATCTCCTCTTGGCGGGGGAGGTGATTTCTCGCTTTCTGTCTCTCTGTCTTTCTGGCGAGCACACATTGCCATATAGAAAAAAAATGCTCCAAAAAAAAGTATAGATTTTTTTTTTTTTTTTGCTGGAGAGTGTATGTGCTCACTGGAGAGACAGAGACAGAGAAATAGGAAGTGAGAAATTGTTGCCAGTGGGGATGGCCATGCCACAATCCCTTTTCCTCCAGTCTCCTCTCGAGATTTTGGGCACACATACACATGCATCTGGCATGAGTTTTAAGCCCCCGGGTCCAGGACTCGAACCATAGTCGACTACATGGGAGTCCAGTGACATAAGCATTAAATCATCTGCTGGTCCCAATGCTTGATTATCTTAATTCAAGAATTTTAGGTATAATTGACATAGAACTCTCTCTTTTCATGTGTACAGTTCAAACAGTTTTGACCAATGAATACATTTGTATAACCAACACAGTAAAAATGGAACATTTATATCACCCCCTCAGTATTACTCCCTCAACCTCTAGAAACATCTACTCTTTCTGCACTTGTACTTTTGGCTTATTTAGAATGACATCTAAATTAATTGTACAGTATGCAGTCTTTTGTATCTGCTTTCACTTACACAATAATTCTGATTTCACATCAATGCTTTTGAGACTCATATGTGTTATTTCGTGTATCAGTTCATTTCTTTTATTACCAAATACAGATTTACCGCCCCTAATTGGAAAATCTAAAATCCAAAATGCTCCAAATTCTAAAACATTTTGAATACTGACGTGACACCACAGGTGGAAATTGCGCACTTGACTTCATGTGATGGGTTATAGTTAAAACTTATAATATAGAGGCCAGCAGGTGTCATAGTGGTTAAGACACTGGACTCCCACATAGTCAACCACAGTTTGCGCCCCAGACCAGTGTCTTGAAATTTACACTAGGCATGTGTGCATATATGCCCAAAATCTCAAGAGGATAATGGAGGAGAAGGGATTGAGGCATGACCATTCCCCCTGGGGGGTAATTTCTCGCTTTCTGTCCCTGTCTTTCTTGCGGGCACACGTGCCCTGTAGCAAAAATCTCTTAAAGAAAAAAACATTGCAGTACAGAAATACTAGTAAAATTACCTTCAGATTGTATATGTAAGGTATATATGAAACAAATGAACTTTGTGTTTAGTTTGGGTCCCATGTCTAATATAGCTTATTATACCTTATGTATATGCAAGTATTCCAAGATCAGAAAGAAAAGATCTGAAATCCCAAATACTTCTAATCCCAAGCATGTCAGGTAAAGGATATTCAACCTGTAGTGTTCCATTATATGGATATACCACAGTCTATTGTTCATTCATCAGTTGATAGGAATTTGAATTGTTTCCAGATTTTTGCTATTATGAATAAAGCTGTTGTACACATTCATAGACAGGTTTTTACATGAACATCTGTTTTCATTTCTTTTGGGTAAATATATCTAGGTAGGGTGTGTGTGCTCACTGGAGAGACAGAGACAGAAAGCCAGAAATCACCCCCTAGGGGAGGGCCACACTGCAATCCCTTCTTCATTTTCCTCTTAAGATTTTGGGCATACACACACATGTGCCCAATGTTAGTTTCAAGCTTCTGTGTCCAGGACTCGAACCTTGGTCGACCATGTTGGAGCCAGAGACATAACCATTAT